GATGTCTAAATTCAAGTGGGATATATTGAAGGTCATATTTTGGCTCTTGTGGACTTGTTTTCATTTTCTTCAGCTTCAGTTTGAATTTGCATATGAGCAATTGATGTCTGTTCCACAATCTGCCCCTGGCCTTGTTTTGGCTGATTATATGCAGCTTTTCCATCTTCTCTTCCCACAGATGTAGTCAATTTGATTTCTATATATTCCATCTGGTGAGGTCCATGTGTATAATCATCTCTTGCGCCGTCTAAAGAAGGTATTTGAAATGAACAAATCATTGATTTTGCAGAATTCTATCATGAGGTCTCCAGAATCATTTCCATCACCAAGGCCGTATTTTCCAACTTCCTCTTTGTTTCCAACCTTTGCATTCCAATCACCAGTAATGACCATTCCTCTTGATTGCATGTTTGATCAATTTCAGATTGAAGAAGTTGGTGGAATTCTTCTATTTCATTCTCACTGGCTTTAGTGGTTGGTGCGTAAATTTTAATAATAGTGGTATTAACTGGTCTTCCCTGTAGGCACATGGATATTATACTATCACAGACAGTGGTGTACTTCATCATTGATCTGGATATGCTCTTTTTGACAATGAATGCAACTCCATTCCTCTTCAATTTGTCAATCCCAGCATTGTAAACCATGTAGTTGTCAGATTCAAAATGACCAATACCTGTCTATTTCAGTTCACTAATGCCTACAATATCGATGTTTAAGTGTTCCATTTCATTTTTAACAATTTCCAAGTTTCCTAGATTCATGCTTCATACATTCCATGTTCCAATTATTAATGGATGTTTACAGCTGTTTGTCTTCATTTTGGGTTGTGTCCCATCAGCAAATGAAGGCCCCCAGGGCTTTACTCCCACGGGCTTTACTCCATTCGAGTCATCACGGTCAACTCTACCCAGTCGCATTTTGAGTGACTTCCAACCTTAGGGGCTCATTTTCTGGCACTATATCTGACAGTGTTTCTCTGCTATTCATAAGGTTTTCCATGACTAAATATTCGGAAGTAGTTTGCCACTCCTTCTTCCTAGTCTGTCTTCGTTTGGAAGCTCATCTGAAACCTGTCCACCATGGGTGACCCTGCTGGTATTTAAAACCCTGGTGGCATAGCTTCCAGAATCACAACAACTCATAGCGACCCTTTATAGGGTTTCCGAGGAGCACCTGGTGAAACTGAACCGCTGACCTTGCAGTTCAAACCAATTTTGTAATCCAGTGTATTAACCCACAGCATAAATAAGACTCCTGAAATTGGTGGAATACCAGTTTAATTGTTCAGTAAACAAATGCCACACTGGAAGCACTCACTTATCTATGTCAAGAAATTTGGAGGACAGCTACCTGGCTAACTGACTGGAAGAGATCCATATTTGTCCTGCTCCAAAGAGAGGTGGCCAACAAAATGTGGAAATCATTGGACAATATCTTTAATAGTATATGTAAGTAAAATTTTGCTGAAGAGAAGTAAAAAACGGTCACAAGAGTACTTTGACAGAGTAGAAATTCAAGCCGGATTCAGAAGAGGACTTGGAACTAGATATATCATTGCTGACATCAGATAGATCTTGGCTGAAAGCAGAGAATATCAGATTTCAGAATATTAAAAAGATGTTTACTTGTGTTTTGTTGACTATGCAAAGCTGTATGGACCATTGACAAACTATGGATATCATTGACAAGAATTGGTATACCAGAACACTTAAATGTACTCATGAGGAATCTGCACATAAACCAAGAGGCAGTTGTTAGAACAGAACATCATTCGAAAGCTATATAAAATTATCAACTTAAAAATTAGCCTGCTATATTTGGTCAAACAATTAACTCACCTGAGTCCTGGTGTGGCACTGTGGGTTACTGAGCTGGACTGCAAAGTCGGTATGAACGGCAAGGTAGAAGCTTCAAGCTCACCAGCCGCTCCTTGGAAACTCTATACAAAGTGGCTATGAGTCAGAACCTACTGGACATGCACTTAATAACAAAAACAATGTGATGGCTGGAGTCCTAGTATGTCACTGAGGGATAAAGCAATGGGCCACAAGGTCAATTTGAACCAAAAGGTCGGTGGTTCAAACCCACCAGCCACTCTTTGGAAATCCTATACAGTGCTGCTATGAGTCAGAACTGACTCTACGGCAACTTAACAACAAATGTGCTGGCTGGAGCTGTGGCTGCCTTGGGAGGGCCAGACCAAATAATTCCGAGGGCCTTTTATGACGCATAGGCCCGACGTTCCCCATCCTTGTTCTATAGAGTTGTTGTTAAGTGCCACGGAGTCAATTTGGACTCATAGTAACTGTATAGCATTAAGGAAGCGGTAAATCTTTAGGAGAGCAGAAAGCCTCATCTTTCTTCTATGGAGCAGCTGGTGGGCACCAACAGCAGAGTTTGTGGTGAGTAGTCCAGTACTTATCCTACAGAACCAGCATGCTCCTAATAATATATGTTGTTGTTAAGTGCTCTCCTGTCAGTTTGGACTCATAGCGACCCATGGTTTCCAAGGAGGGGCTGTCAAGTTTGAACAGTCGACTTTGTGGTTTAACCCTTGTGGTCCAGTGCGTATCCTACAGTGCCACAGCAGGACTCCAATAGTATAAGAGAGTGACAATTTTTCACTGTTCTAAGGAGCTCTGGTAGCTTAGTGGTTACAAATCGGGCTGCGAACCTCAAGGTCAGCAGTTCGAAACTACCAACTGTTCCACAGGAGAAAGATGAGGCTTTCTGCTCCCATAAAGATTTACGGTCTCTGAAACCCTGTACAGGGTCACTATGAGTCGGAACCGACTCCACAGCACACCACCACCACCACCAAGTACTGACTGGGAGTCCTGGTGTGGCGCTGTGTGTTAATGCGCTGGACTATATGGTCAGTTTGGAACAGCAAGATCGGTGGTTCAAGCTCACCAGCCGCTCCTCAGAAACCCTAAACAGGGTCGCTATGAATCGGAACCAACTCGACAGCAAAAAATAACAACAAGGATTGAATATACACATATTTCTGTCAGTCTGTAAATTTGAGGTATCTAGTTCACAGCTCTGGTAGCATAATCTGGTAGCGTAGTGGTTACGAATTGGGCTGCGAACCGCAAGGTCAGCAGTTCAAAACTACCAGTTTTTCCACCAGAGAAAGATGAGGCTTTCTGCTTCCGTAAAGATTTACAGCCTTGGAAACCCAATACAGGGTCGCTATGAGTCAGAACCGACTCCACGGCACATAACAATAACAATTCACAGCTCTATTGTGAGGGCCATATATATGAAGGGAGGGCAGTGGCTCTGTATGCTTAGCACTTGACTGTGAACCTCAAGGTCAGAGGTTGGAGCACAATACTGTCGGAAGAAAAATGAGGCTTTCTGCTCCCGGAAAGATTTATAGCTTTGGAAACCCTATACAAGGTTGTTATGAGTCGGAACTGACTCCGTAGCACTTAACATATATGAAAGGAATCGCTTATTAGCATTCTATATTTTCATTATTTTACTGCCCAAATAATGAAATACGTAAAATTGATGCTTCGTTAAGTGCCGTCAAGTCGGTTCCGACCTATAACGATTATGTATAGGGTTTCCAAAGAGCAGCTGGTGAGCTTGAACCACCGACCATGCGTTTCAAACCGACTTTGCAGTCCAGCTCATTAACCCACAGTGCCATACCAGTAAGAGCTATTAAAACGACAGGGAACCTTATTGAACAGGTTTGCCATGACTTTTTTGAGGCCTTAAAGAAGAAGAAAAACAAAACAATGGACTGCATTTCTAACGCGTATAACGCGTTACTTCTGGAGGGGTAAACTCAACTGTGAAGATAATTGGATGAAATGTTCTAAAGAAGCAGGCGTTCCATTTTTTCAAAGAACCCAGCCGCCTCCCCAAGTCTGCTTTTGTCTCCGGAGCAACGCGGGAGGAGGCCCCAATGGGCTTTCTTTTCTCCGCCGAGAAGCTAGGAGGGCTGTTTCCCTCGCTCCAGTGCCCTCCGAGGACCGCGCCCGGCCGTTATCCCTCGGGGCTCGGGCTCTCCGTTCCAGCGTGTACCTGAAGTCCCGGAGCCGCCCTACCGCTTCTTTCCTTGAGAACAGCGTCTGAGAAAAGTCTACGACCTTCCCATGTGCTAGACATCTTTGGAGTGTCTCAGCATTTGCAATTTTCTTTAGATGATTATAAACTTGGTTCTGGAAACTACAGATTTATTGATCTGGAAGGCCGACTAGGGAATCCCGACCAACCCGCTAGCGGGTTGTCTGGAGCCAGCGTTTCAACCAGATGCGCCGCCAGTAACCGGACGCGGGGCGGGGTTGGACCGACTGCCCTCAGATGTATAGCTTTTTAGTTTGGTATTTTTAGCTTAGATTTTGGCTTAAACTTAAACAGATTCTTGGAATTTAATTTTTACAGTGTCTAAGAGATGGGCACTCAAGCCCATCTTAGCGCATCAGTGATTTCTGCGAAAGAAACACTTTACACTGGAAGCCTTAGATCACCGAAGGGCCGGGCAGCGGGGGCGGGGGAAGTCCTTCAGGATCAGCCAATGGCAGTGCGCTCTTCACTAAGGGCCCGCCTCATGGACGGTCTGAAAAAAAACAACAAAAAAACCCCCAGACAGTAGTGATTGTAATTGGCGGAATTAGGCGGAAAACCCTAGTCCCTCAACTACAACGAGTTTTGATTGGCTCAGGCACACAGTCGTTTTTTCTAGCATCAGAACCTAGAGTCTTTTAGTGATAAATCCCGCCTTAAAAGCAGTTTGATAACAGGTTTACGTATTGTAAGGAAAACTGTGATTGGCTACAGCGTCGCACATTCGGTAGGTAGTAAACACGGCAAGACTCCTGGGACAGTGGATTGGTCAGTTTATCGACTGGCCGAGTAAATTCCTCTGAATTCCGCGCGCGGGCTGGCTACAATCCTGTCCCAGCCCGGCCCTCTTTTTTGCTGATTGGTTGTAGCTTGGCTAAAGGACTGGAGAAATGGGGCAGAGTAGGCGAGCTCGCATTTCGTCACTTCCGTTTACTGTCGGGCACCGCAGCGGAGTTCTCAGAGTGCGGCGGCTAACCGGCTGAAGAAGCTGAGGGACTAGAGGCGGGGTGGGCGGGGGGGTGGAACGGGGAGGAAATCCCTTCACCGAGACAGCAGCCTGGACGTTCCCACCTCCTCCCAAACTGTCGGGTCCGATCGGACAGGGGTCACCGCCTCCTCCAGCGGTGGAGAAGGGGGGCGGAGCCCGGCTCAGGTGAGGCGTCTCTGTCAACGCGAGCGGTGGTGGCGCGTGCTCGGGCGCGCTCCCTTTGAGACGGTTGATCTCCCAGGCTGCTGGGCGGGCGGCTCAAGCAGGGTCGCGCCTAGACGTCGAGGATCGCGCAGACGCGCATCCGTGCCCTCTGCCTACTCTGCCTTCTCTTTCTGAGGGGGTATTGTTACCCTTCAGAGCCGAGGGGCCAGGCGGGTTAGAGGCTGGTGCTTCTGCGCAGGCGTCCCTCGTGTCCCGACGCCCAGCTGTCTGTCTGCGAGGTGGGGCGGGGACCCGTGCCCCCCGCGGATCTCCGGGCTGGCTACTGGGCTACTTCCTGGGATGGAGTGGGAAAGGCCTCCGGACCAGCACCCCGGCGGGATGAATGGAGGAGCCGCTGCCGTGTGGGATCGGTCGGTGTACCCCTTGCCCTTATTCTGTGTCTTGTCTTCTTGAGCGACGAGGTTTCATTTCACCAGGGCAAGGCCACGGGCGCTCTGGAAGCCGTGGCCGACCCTGGAAGGTATTTGGAATGCTTCAACTCGTTTTCAGAGGGCTCACTAACGTGTGTGAGAGGCAGTAACTGAAAACGCACTATTTCAAGCCTTCCCATCCTCTCCCCTTGTCTGGAAGGCAATCGGACTTGAACGCGACAACTAAAATATACGGTAGTGAATGAAGGAGAGTGAAGGGGTTTTTTTTCTTCCAAAAAAGGTCATTTATTATTCAGTTTGCATCCTAGCGTAGCGGAGGGTCCTGTAGAAGTTAGCTTCTGAATAGAAGGCAAATCCTAAATATTCTTTAGTTTGGAAGACAGTTTTTAAATAAAGGCACAGGGAAGTCTTGATTAAGTAGTAAGCTCCGGTGAATTTTTAGTTTTGAATTAATAGAGGTCAGAAACCTTTCCCCTGCAAGAATTGAAACAAGAATATTTCCCAAATGTGTTAATAGACTTTTCAGTTGTAATAAATTGAGGATGTTACGTATACATTTGTATCTTTAGAGACTGAAGCGAATGCTGTGCCTCAGTCATCACTGTTGATTGGCTGCCCTTGTAGGAACTATTGTCTTAGATTAAAAAACAGAATCAGGTGGGGTGGGCGCCTCACCCTTTTCTGGAGAACTTGCGGTAGGGTTGCCGTGAGTCCGGATTGACTTGAAGGCAGAGGGTTTTGCGTTTTATTTGTTTACAGTCTGTGATGGCTGTGCACAGTGGTTGGCAGTCAGCTACAAGAGTGGGAAGGGAAGAGTTAGTAGATGGGAAAAAGAGAAGAATTTTAGATAAAGACCCATAAGCCAAGAGAAGACCTCCTACTCCTTTGGAGGGGTTCATTCCCGTGGGCCCCCTGCTGAGAATTTGCCTTTCCCCAACAGATTTGTTGGATCTATCTATTTTAACAAGATCTGTATACACACAGGGTCTCTTGGTGATTCTTAGCTGTACACAAAAATCACTTGGGGATCTTGTTAAAATGCCCTTCTGATTCCATCCATCTATCCGATGGAAATGCATATTCTTAGCAGCAGGTACAAGGGTTTGAAGCCCTGTTCCCATTGGTATTTTAATCCACTCTAGGAATTTCAGCAAGCTTAGGAGAACTAGCCTGGCCACCACAGCCAGCTTGATGACTTGCCAGGTAGGACTAACTGGTTGGAGACCTGTTCTGTTCAGTAAATGAACTAGGACTTTATGAAGAATCCAAGATCAAGGTGGAGTTCTGGTGGGGTACTGTCGAATAAGCACTGGACTGATAACCACAAGGCTGGTGGTTCCACCAGCTATTCCTTGGAAACCTTATACAGGGTCACTATGAGTCGGGACCTACTGGACAGCACTTAACAACAAGCAAGGCCAAGATTGACCATTCTTTCACCTACAATTGTGCAGACAAAACAATGAGAACAAGTAGTTAGGGATGCTGTGAGCTGGATTCTAGTCAATCAAGGTGTCTGGCAACATTCTGAAAGAGATAAGATTTGGAGGAAAGACATATAATGGGGCCTTTTCCTGAAGTTTGAGGACCAGTGCTTTCAAAAGAGACTTAGTCTCAAGACTGTCACAAAAAGTTGAAGTAATTATTTTAAAAAGTCACTTGTATAACAAAATGTATGCATTGTTTTTTAGTATTTAAAGTTAAGTGCTGTCGTTTTCGACTTATAGTGACTCTGTATAGGGGGCTTCCAAGGAGTGGCTGGTGAGCTTGAACCACCACCTTGTGGTTCAAACGACTTTGCAGTCCGGCGCATTAGCCCACAGCACTACACCAGTATTTAAAGTACTTAGCATGAATTATAAGGAGCACTGGTGGCTAATGTTAGAAACCATTCAGTGGCTTTGTGATAGAAAAGACCTGGCGATCTGATCCTGTGAAGATGACAGCCTAGGACAACTAGTTCTCCTCTGTCCTGAGTTGGAATAGACTCAATGCCAAATAACAGTATAAGTTATACAGAATCAGAGTGAATAAAACGTAAAAATACTTCATTCAGTGTGATATGACAAAACTTGCTGAAGGTTTGACACAGAATCTTGAATCTGCTGCAGAACCTCTTTGGAAAAGGGAAAAAAAAAGCCAACAACCAAATATTGATTCCACATCAGCTTTCAACTTTTTTTTTTTTAAATACAAATTGATGGTAACCAGATACTTTCCCCCTCTGTTTTAAGTATTTGGTATTACTTTTACTGTACTTGTTCTTGTTAAGTGCCATCGAGTAGGTTCTGACTCATGGTGACCCAGTCTAAGGTTTCTGAGAAACCACTGATGTGTTTGAATCACCAGCCTTGCGGTTTAGCAGTCCAGTGCTTAACCTACAGCACTCCACTAGGACTCTAAAGATAATAGAAACCTGCTTATAATGGCCTGTTTGGGAAGAGAACCCATGACCTTGTCATTATTTGTACCACACACTAACCAACTAAGCTATCACCCACCTTTTACTGTAATTAGTAGTTTGCAAATGCATTGTCTAGTAGAGACGATTTTGTTAGTGCAGCAGGTGGGATGGGATGTAATATAACACTGCACTTTTTTGTATAAATATGAAGTGAACTTCTCATATGCTAAAAACCCAGTTGTTTCTGAATGAATTATTGCTCTTTACAGTTGTTTTCATCATTGAATAGTGCTTTTAATCTCCAGTTTGTGGGATGCTTTTCACACTAGACTGTTAACCACAAGGTTTGCAGTTCAAACCCCTACCAGCTGCTTTATGGAAGAAAGATGAGGTTTTCTGTTCTCCTGGATTTATAGCCTCGGAAACCCTCTACAGGGTTGTAATTGACTCAGTGGCAGTGGGTTTGGTTTGTCTTGAGGGGAAAGTTTATTAACACCTCCTGATGATGCAGTGGGTTCAGCAGTGTACTGCCAACCCCCCAGTGTTGGTGATTTGAACCCACCAGCCTCTCTGAAGGAGGAAACTGAAGCTGTCTGCTCCCATAAACATTTACACCCTGGGAAACCCGATGGTGCAGTTCATTTAACTGTTCTCCAGGGCTGCTAGCACTCCGAACCCATTGAACACAACTGGGTACAGGCTTCATTTGATTAATTATGTAGATATTAGCCATAAGCTTTGATTTATCTTTTTGACAGCTCAGATTAGGAATTTTGCTAAAATACTGATTTCATTGTAATATGAGGATAGAGTATTTTCTTTTTAGCCAAGATTATTTAATCTATAAATAATTGGTTTACCAGTATTGTAACAGATTTGAATGATTTCTTTAAGGTTCCAGTATTCCCTTGATTCAAAGCACATGTTATTCACATTTCAATCTCTTTGAAGGTAGGATGTGTTAAATTGATTGTTGTTGTTAGTGCCCACTCAAAGCGACCCTGTATAGGGTTTCTGAAGAGTGGCTGGTGTGTTTGAACTGCCTACCTTGAGATTCAAACCAACCTTGATGTTGAGTGCTTCTCCGACAGCACCACACCAGAACTCTAAATTAGATTAATTGGCAATTTTTTCTTCTATAGTGTTATATGAAATAATGTCATGTCTTATAATCACTGCCATCTTACATTTTATGAAATTTCTTACAATTAAACTCTTTTCAACCCAAAGAAAATCAAACAAACAAACAAACCAACTGCCCCATTAATTCCAACTTTACTGATTTTTCCAAATGTGTTTTTGTATCTGAAGACACTTTGCTATTGAATGGAAATCTTTTGCAAGTGATACTTTTCTTAAATAAAAGGAAAACAAATGAAGTTTTTTTGTTTGTTTTAAAAACTTTTAACAATAGTTAAATTGTGGATCAGCTTTTTAGGTAAGTATACTTAGTAGGCTGTTGTTTACTGTGCTTGATAATACAAGTGTGCAAATGGTTTATTCCCACCTTCAGTTTTAAATGTTTAGCGTAAATTGCTTTCTCTCTTTTTCTGTACATGATATTGTTAACATGGTGTAATTGATTTTTCAGCACATCTTAGTTAGTAGGTTATGATTTAAAATCCACTCAACCATCTTACTTTAAAAATGTGAGGCTTTCAATTTTTAAAAAACAGTTTCTAGTTCTGAAGGAATTTGAAGAAAGAAAGAGGACTGGGAGAAGAAAACCCACTCTTTTGGGATTCAGTTGTGAAAGGAGCCTACAAATGCTATAAAAAAAATCTAGGCGCATTTAGTAACCAACTATATTTTGAATAGAAGGTCAAAAGCAACTGATCCGCTTATATTTCAGTCAATACACTATTGATTTAATATATGATTCAAAAGTAAATATACTGCTTTGAAAGTAAACTGGGAATATGGATTTAATCTGCCCGCCAGCCACTCTGAGGGAAAAGGATGAGGCTTTCTGCTCGGGAGATGATTTAAAGCCTTGGAAACCCTATACAGGATTGCTATGAGTTGGAACTGACTTCGACAGCATTTAACAACAACAACAAATTGGACAGATAATACCGATAATAGTGTCTTTGTTGCATTGGTATGGTTTTCCTGATAAGCTGACCATTTTTTTCATGAAGAATTAAGTTGATTTGTCAGAAGTA